AATTTCTGTTATTTTTATTTTTAAAGAAAAAGCAACATTTTTGTCAATACTTCAAATCTGGCTTTAACGTTCAGATAATTTGTATACTTAAAATATATTTATTACCTGGAGAAAAAAAAATAAAATCAAAATATTTCAAACTAGTCCATTTGTTTGATTCTTTGTGACTATAATCTAATGTTAATGGTATGGAAAACTAGGGAATAGTACGATAAATTTTTCTATCAGAAATACTGAGTCTGATAACGAATGTCTTTACAAAGGAAAATGTGTAAACTAATTATGAAAATTAATTGTATATCATTGTACATAATAAGAGTTCTATGTAATAGATCATATTGAACATTCACTCATGCCTTTGTATGGCAAAATTAATAAAAGTGATGGGGGATAAAGTTTGTAAGTATGCATTATAAATTTAGTATCTATCTTCATCTTCGTCCATGGCAAAGTCACTGCCAACTCCAGAATCTAGTACGTAGAGAGGACTGTAAATAATAGAAAAAAGGGGGGAAACAATATTAAAAAGGGAGGTCAATCAAAACTGATTTATGAAATAGATATTACTTACTTTATTGCTCTGCATGTGAAAAACACAATGCGTTTCATTTTCTTATTGTAGAAGAAATAATTAAAAGACCACAAGCATCCATCTTCTCCAAATGGATCGGATACAAAGTCTGGATTGTAACTAAAATAGTTTCATACTTTTAATTTAGCTAGTAACTTCCCCATACGAGTTTCTATACAATTTATATTTTTTACCTATAAATATCACATTCGTTTAATGATATCTCATCATCGATGGCCGCCCAAAGCGCGGTCCTAAGAGTACGATAATGATCACCTGCAGTTGCACTCAAATTACTGTCTACTGCGTTCATCACCCATGTCAAACTTGGTTCCTTGCTAAATTCATGACTTTTAGCATCAGAGAAATCATAATCCGGATGAAAAGCTGAATTCAAAGTGGCAATCAAATAGAACAGAGTTTTTCTACTGATTGTGTCGCATAGTGGGCCATCTTCATCACCAGAAACACTGCGACTATAGAAAAAATAGAAAGAGAAGATACAGGTATTATTATAAAATATGTCGACCTCCATTGACTCTACTAAAATTGTTTTTTTGTCCTAGCTTTTGATTTAATCAATGATTATTAATACCTAAAGTACCTTTGAGCCGGTGATGTTCCCAAAGATGTTTGAGGTGGTGATAAAGCTTGAAGATCATGTGGAGTAAATCCTTGTTCTGCATTGAAACGTTTGTATAACTGTTTGTCATTCCCAGCCATTTTACAAGAGTAGCTTTCTATTCTGAATATGGAGAAGATGATAAATATAAAGCATTGGTTACACAATGTATTCATTACACACAAGTTTGATTGACCTACCGGCCTATTATTTTGCTGTCTCCGGTCTTGATGGACAAGGCACTATTGATAGCTTCGAAGCGTGTACTCTCCAACAGCTTCATGTTGTCAGTATGTCAATGGTTTTTCTCTTACAGTGTATAAAAGCAGCGTCCCTGTACTGAATACTCTTGATGCATCTCCTAGCGAACCGCTTCTTATGTCATTAACACCCCATTACATCGGAGTTTGATGACTGGTTGTTCTGGCAAAAATCTTGACCTCGTTTCTCAGTCGCAACGGTCAAGGCGTTCAATAGAATCGAAATGTTAGAAAACTTCTTTGACATCGAAGACTTATCGAGTCCTTGTACATGTTTCTTATGTGTATGAAAATTCCTTTCCTCTTTGAGTGCACAAACTTAATAGTGGACGTGATGATTTTTCCCGCGTCCCCGAGCTTGTACATTACAGATTCCTAATTAAATAGATCGATACGGAATTCACGTCCGTGCGATAACCGATTTTCGGTAATCAGTAGAATTCGTATCGGTGAGTCTCAGCCGTGACGGAGTCCTCGGTTGGCTTCTCGCGCCGCTGTTGCGAGTGACGTGACCAGCTGAGAAGAGAGGAAAACGAATCGCGAAGGACGAACAACTACCCTTGAAAAACAAAAGATCCTGTTTGTTTTTCGATCGTGGAGGAACCCAACACTAAACACCAATGTTCATGAACAAAGCTGTCTCGAAGTCTCGATGGATCGGTATCGCTTATCGGGGAAGTCAGCTAAATAAAGTGACTAACAAACTTCACAACATCCGCTACTGGTGAAAACAATCCATAATCACGGACATTGTTGTTGCAATCACTGAAATAATCACGGCCACTGACAAACTATCGAAACACCTTCGAAAATTCGATGGAGTTAGAACTGCCCGATCGAAGGTCGACCAAACTGAAACCCTTTTCACTCCTGATTCGCGCCGTGTTACCTATTATTTGCGTCTTGATGTCAGTACGCTTGTATGCAGCAACGAATGTATGCGTCCTACGTGACAGAAATAGCACACCGAAGCGTCTTGAACTTCCCTCTCTCTTGCTCTTTTTCCCCTTTACTCTCCCCTCGGCCGTATAAGCTTGATGGAAGGGATATGTTCGTGTGAATTCCAACCGGCCAATCAAACGCGGTTCCAATGAGATTGTGTGTGCCTGTGCCAGGACGCGGTGCAACTCATCGTATGTGTACAGTGTACAGTTGCTTGTTTGTACGCGACTCGAGTTCGCGTATTCGGTTTAATTCTAACCTCACAGAATGCTGACAGGAATTCGAATTTATTGGTAAAATGTCAAAACGTTGGGGCAGCGACTATGTGGTCACGGAGCACCGGGATTTACAGGTATGTTGCCTTGTATCGTTGGTCCATGTCCGAGATTCGATTCCTGTAATTCGTATTTTCATTGTACACCTTGCAATGCTCGAATGTTGTCATTTACGAAAATATTTTTCTTTTTGTAGGCTAATAGCATGGCCGTGGATGCGACTGGCAACTACGTGTTACTTGCTGGGTAAATATCAATGTACACAGACTCTACCTATAGCAAATTTTTTCTCAAATGTTTTTATCTGTATTTACAATTCTTTCATTGCTTGGCTTTCGTTTATCCTTTTGTCTTATTTTATCCAGACGTAGATGTTTTGCTGTGAAACATCTTGATGAAGGTGCTGATACCTTGAGAAAATTCCAAAGACAAAGCAAGTACGAGATCGGCACCACAGAATGGAATCCTACAAGTTCAAATGCTCACATGTGTGCTGTTTCTGTTAGTAATTATAGAGTACATGTACAAATTGTATTTTACACTGACTAATTGACTTCGAATTGTAGAGCAATACACGTATAGAAATATTGTCACTCACTGGAGGCAGTGGCTATGAATTACAGACAACAAATAGTCTTAAGGCACATACAAGAGTAGTCAGTGACTTGAACTGGCATCCCAAAGAACCTGATATCATTGCTTCTTGTAGCATCGACACATTTATACACATTTGGGATATAAGAGACCAGAGGAAACCATGCTTATCTTTGTCCGCAGTTGGTGAGTTCAAACTGAATGAGAAAATTGTATAAACATCTAACTACATATCTAAATATTCATTTAATTTATAGCTGGATCTTCTCAAGTAAGATGGAATGGTTTATCACCTAATATATTAGCCACAGCTCATGATGGGGATATTAAAATATGGGACCAGCGGAAAGGAAATAGTCCTGTACAGTACATAGCTGCTCATCTAACAAAAGTATACATGCATTTTTTCGTGATTTATGAATCTAGTAAAACATTTATAAATGCTGAAGTTATTTTAGATACATGGTTTAGATTGGTGTCCTTTTCAACAAAACCAACTGGCCACTTCTAGTCAGGATTGTACAGTAAAAATTTTCGATATTAGCAATCCGCGCAGGGCCGAAAGTATTGTGACGACGAATTCACCAGTATGGAGAGTCAGATATACGGTATAGATAATAGCCTCTTCAACAAGACCCATGTCATTACCATTTATAACGCCATAAAATCCATTTACAGCCATTTGGAGAAGGATTAGTGACAATAGTGGTACCGCAATTGCGGCGAGGAGAGAACAGTTTATTGTTATGGAACACAACAAACCTTGGCGCGCCTATTTACACATTCGTAGGTCATACAGACGTTGTACTTGAATTTCAATGGAGGCACCAAAAATTAGGTACATATTTACGTATGAATTAACATTTCATACATGCAAATTAATACTTCAAAGAAATATGAAATATACTTATAATTTCAGAAAACAGTGATTTCGAGTTGATTACTTGGTCAAAAGATCAATGTTTGCGGATATACAAAATCGATCCATTTTTAAAGAAGGTACGTACGCATTCGTTGAGGAATATGCTCTGTATGCACATAAAAATAAATGCAGAATTACTTGTTTAGTTGTGTGGACATGGCATGGACGATAGCGCATCTATTTATACACAATATTCAGAAGATAGTAATTTAAGTATGTAAATTACTTTGCTTATGAATAGTATAAATGTTTATTGCCATTAAATTAATAAATTTGTTAATATACAGGAACACTACAATCTATTCAACAGCTACAGCTCAGTGATTCTCAAACCGATCGGGAAATGAATTGTATAACAGCAAAAGTAGACGAATCTACATTGAATTCTGAATCGGACACATACATTGAAAATAATAAAGAAATATCGTCTCCTACACAGCCGAAAACTTTGCAACAAGAATTTTCTTTAATTAACATGAACATACCAAACATAGAGGTGACATTTACAGCAATCAAATAAAGCTGTGTAAGGTACATACTTCTCCTATTTTAGGTGAACGCGATGGATGCTGTAGAGCGCAGTTGTACCGTAACAGCGTCCAATAAAAGTTACAATGTCATATTGAAAGTGAATTTCCCTGCAAATTATCCATACAGCGCGCAACCTACATTCCAATTCTGTCCTGGAACAACAATCGACAACGCAACAATGACAAAACTGTTGAAAGTGTTAAAGCAAACTGCTCAGCAACGCGTGAAGAAAAACAGATCCTGTTTGGAACCATGTCTGAGACAATTGATCGCAACTTTGGAGCAAGTAAAAATGAAACAAATCATTGAAGAATTTTGTATATATGTCTGAGTAATGTTTAATACATTTTTGTGTTCCTGTAGACATGTAAAAAGGATGAAAATGAAACTACTCACATTGGATATGATATTCAGGACAGTGCTAATTTTTTAAGTTCCTCTAATATGTATACAAACTACCAAGACGCTTATATACCTTTCCCTAGAACCTCAGGAGCTAAGTTTTGCTGTGTAGGTATGTAAACAGCCGATAGAAAACAGAAGGTCTGCGTGCTAGGACTCAATGTAATGTTTCAATAGGTATTCTTGTATGTTTCGGTCGTGCATCGTATACTAGAAGGACGTCGATGAAACCGGAGAGCACAACGCCTAGAGCTCTATCTGCTTTGGGGAACGGAATTGGCAATGGGGAACATTTCATGCACATGTATTCGAATTCATATGTACAATCAAATGAAAACATTCCCATTAGTTCTTTCTACTTTCAAGATCGCGTAAGCGAATGCAATTTCCAAAGATTATAAGGTATTTATTATTCTTACTAACGATTACTTTTCCTTATTTAGAAAATGAATCGGGGATTACATAACACCAGTAGAATGACTCATCGGTCATGTTGTAAAAATTATCACTTCATGGTAATCATTTATGACGCTTCGTCATTATTTTTCGTGAACAAAGAGCTGGCAGAGAAATATGTGTAAGTCGACTGATAACACCGTCACGTGACTTTTTAATCTATCAACCCTAAAATAATCTTGTGTGTTCAATCTTCAGAATCAATATTACCGACATCCCAGCGATGTGTCAATACAATGCGAACATCGCTGCACAATTGGAACGGCCTGATTTAGTTCAGGCATGGTGTTTGGCCGCTCTTGTAATATCGCAACCGGTTTCGAACATTGGACAAAATTCTTGCCAGTCACCTGACATTGATGCACCATGGCCACTACATCCTTTCGGTCAAAATTTAATTCATTCTTTGTATGTGATTTTCAATATCAAACAGGGAGTTACATTTTACTCGATCCACATAATTGTCGACCTATGAACAATTCCGTGGATTAATTGAAATATGTTACCCTGTATATCATACTTATGCTCAAAGCTGTGAAATCAGTATTGTTATAAAATATTTTTTCCTCGTTCAGAATACAGCATTATGCCAATCAATCAGACATTCAGATGGCAGGCATGCTGAGCTGTGCATTTAGTTATCGTTCAGAGAATCTAGACGTTGTTCAGACTCGGCTAAGTAGCAAGTCCGTTAACGTTAGTGTAAGTATGATGCAAACTGTTTGCGAGCGAGTGTTAAATGTTTTTTGGATTGGCCTGAGATAACCGTTACTCTTCAAATGTCCCATGTCTTGATCATATCTTGTCTTCTGTTCATAAAATTTGTTGGGAATGCTCTTTGAATAGAATCATTTGTAATTCATTACTCGATATTGGCTGTTCTTAAATGTAGTACATCACATCTTTTATAGCTAGCACACGTTTGTTTCCACTGTTGCATGAAGGAATGTTTGTGAGAATATAATCTTACGCCAGGTTGTGGTATAGTATGTGATGTATTAATTAGAATAGCGTTTTTCAACTCAATATTACTCGTATTATAAAGTTTTTAAGAACCTGAAAGAAATTTTGTGAGAAACGCTGAATTATATGAATATACTATGCTGTTATGCTACGCGCTTGTTTTATTACAGTATTTTTTCATGCTATTTCGAAACAACCAAATGATTGATACGATTATTATCTTTGTTATAGAGGCTTTCTACAGGAAAATGGTGGTTGAAGGTAAGGCATGGTTTCTGAATTATGTATGGTTGTGCGTGTTTGAACACACAGTGGTTCTTAGGACTCTCTGTCACAGTGATATTTTGTTACTGCCTTACAGCATCGGAGTGGAAGTGTCGTGATGCCACAGAGCATGCAGGTTTGGCCATGCTTGTTGATATTAAAACGCCAAACGATTGATTCGGTCACAATTTGTAGCAATTAACCCAATGTATATGTGATGTACTGTTCGTTGTAACAATGCCTACTATTATAAGCACAGAAGACAAATATTGTTGTATTGAAAGCGATCACAGACATAATGCCTATCTCACGATTATACATATATGTTATATACATCAATCAAATTACCAATGGAATTATGATTCACATGATGTTCAATGTATTTTTCCAGCCTGGCGGATCGCCCTACCACACTATACACTTAGCTGACACCACCTTAGAAGGATGGAATTTTCAAAATTTGAAACAGCATAGATCCAACTCATGGTCTGACTCCCTTGACGACTTAAAGCTCATCCAAGATACGTTTGGAGACTCCGTAAAAAATATTAAGTATGTAATCTCATACATTTGTTTATTAAGAAAACGAGAGAACTGATATTATAAATGTTTATAGACTACTTGACGAAAAGTATACCACTCTCTACGATGGGTACAAGAAAGCATATGCGGAAGTGTTGCACAGGTGGCGACTGTTGGACGCTCGAGCACAAGTATTGAAGCATGTCAGCACAACTCCACTGGATACGCATAAAGGCGTGGAATTTCAAAGCGAATGCCAATTGTGTACTAAAGTTAGCAGAGGTCCTCAATGTGTAAATTGTAAACGACTGGCTCTGGAATGCGTAATATGTCATATCTCTGTGAGAGGTGGGTAGATCAACGAGTTTTTTCCCCTAGAAATATGTAGTGTATACTGATTTTCTTTATTGATTTCAGGTCCAAGTAATTTCTGTATATTTTGTGGACACGGAGGACATACGCAACACTTAGCAACATGGTTCTCCAATGAGACTCTGTGTCCAACAGGTTGTGGATGTAATTGTTTGCAAGAGAGTTCCGCCCTCTTAAAGGTGTAAATAAGACAAAGAGAATTGTACATAATTAAGGCAGTATGTATATATACATATAGATACGACTAATGTTACAGAAAAATAATAAATATGTTTTTTCTTGAGGATGGTTCAGAGATCATAAAACATTACTAACTTATTCGTCACCGAGAGTTTCAGTTTCATTTATTATGATTTCACTCGTATCAGGTGTTTCTTGATTGACTGTTACTTCTTTGTCAGTAAAGACAGTCCCAAGAAATATTTCTTCCATTTCTCTCAATTCAGCTGTAAAGAAAACACGACTTGCAGGAAAAGACGTAGCTGTAGTGAATGATAAAAGGTACCAGCATTGCGACGCTCCTTCTCACGAGCAAGAAATTCTTCTCTCTCGGGTCTTTCTCTCTCTTCCTGTTCTCTTCGTGCTTCTTCAATTGCGTGATATTTTCTTTGTAATTTGAAACCGTGAATCACGCCGGCAAATAAGCACGACCATCTGAATAACTAAAGATGAAAATTCTGTACGAATTACAGGTTCGAGTAACAAGTATCAATTACTACCTTTATTAAGGGGCTAACTTCAATTGGAACTGGCTTTATTTTTTCTTCCATAATCAAAGTACACAAATCTTTTTAATTAAATTGATTTTTTAATGAATTACGTTTTTTATGAACCTTAAGAAGTAAGACACAATATTGGATGTTGACATTGCAAATAATAAATGAGTAACTAGAACTTTGATAATTGACAATCTAGTTAAAAACGTCGCCGTGTTTTCGTTATAATATCAAATAGAAGTACATAAAGGCCTCTGAACTCTGAATGGCAATTAATATCTGTAATGATCAGCCTTGTAAGGTCCTTCCACAGGGACGCCAAGGTACTTTGCCTGCTCGTCTGTTAGTTTTGTAAGCTTTACGCCAAGATGATCCAAGTGTAACGCTGCAACCTCTTCGTCCAATTTCTTTGGTAACATGTGAACACCGAGTGAGTAGGATTCTGCTTTTGTCCACAACTCTATCTGTGCCAACACCTGATTTGTGAACGAATTGCTCATCACGAAACTCGAGTGTCCCGTCGCACATCCAAGATTAACTAAACGACCCTCCGCGAGGACAATGATGTGTCTGGAAAACGGTGAGATATTACAGCTAATTTTTCTAAATTTTTTAAACTAAATTCTACAATGTCCCTAATCTTCTTCAAACATTTTTATAGGCAAGGAAGCGTTGCTTTAAATATTATTCTAACTGCCCACCTGCTGTTCTTCAACGTGTATCTGTCTACTTGGGGCTTAATGTTTACTTTCTCGACCGCATTCTTTTGGAGCCAAGCAACATCTATCTCACAATCAAAGTGGCCAATGTTGCATACTATAGCATCTTCTGGCATGTTCATAAAGTGCTGACCTAATATAATATCTTTACACCCAGTGGTGGTGACATATATCTGTCCCTTGGTTGATGCTTCTTCCATTGTTGTCACCTAAGAATCGTAGGTATATGTTCATCAACTTTTCTCCTAACCAATTAGAAATAATCTTGTCATTCTTTGCATGTTAGCAATAATCACCTCGTATCCTTCCATAGCTGCTTGAAGTGCGTTAATAGGGTCAATTTCAGTGATTATGACGCGACCACCAAGTGCTCTGAGACTCTGCGCGCATCCTTTGCCAACATCACCATATCCGGCTACCACACAGACTTTTCCCGCGATCATCACATCTGTGGCTCGCTTGATACCGTCGATCAATGACTCTCTGCATCCGTATAAATTGTCGAATTTACTCTGTTCAGTGAAATGTAAACTTGGGATCATAGAACATTCAAAACTCAATTGTACTATAGGCCAGAGTATGAAAGAGGTGGCTGGAAAGTATGGGACTGAAGATGTTCAGGTAAACAATTGGATCAAAAACTGTAGCTGACAAACCTTGGTTACAGAGTCATTCACATTAATAGCCGGAACTTTGAGCGTTCCTTCTTTCATCATGCGATACAGATTATGTACACCAGTGGTGGTTTCTTCTGAAATGCCGCGACAGTCCTTTAAATATTGTGGAAACTTGGTGTGAACCAAATTGGTCAAGTCGCCACCATCATCAAGGATCAGGTTTAGCGGTTTGCCATCGTTAAAGACGAGAGTCTGCTCTATACACCAAAGATACTCTTCGTCTGTTTCGCCTTTCCACGCGTACACGGGGACACCTGTCTCTGCTATAGCTGCTGCCGCGTGATCCTGCGTGCTGAATATATTGCACGATGACCATTGAACCTAATTGATCAATCGGGTTGAGACATATCTCGAGTATTATTGTGAACTAACTTATTCGGGAAAATGATTGTCGAACGATCAGAAAAATACTGTGCACCATGGTCTCATAGACAATGTTTTATTTATTAAGATTTTTAACTTGATGTTATATCGTAAGATTTTTCTTTAATACAGTTGCGATTCTTCAATACTAAAAGTCTACTCATATGTGAGAGATAAATCTATCTTTTAATATTACCTAACTTGCTTAGGTCTAATTAAATTTGAAGTGAACTGTGAAAGTATAAATGATAAGTATATAGATAATAATGATAAGTATGACAGATTATTATACAGTGATAAATGTATTATTTGTTGTCAAATGATTATAGGGTAGTAAAAAAAAAATTCATGATCTTATGGACCATCAAATTGCAGACAACACCCCTTTTCTATTATAAAAATAAACTGTATTACAATAGTAGTAAGTGATACAAATTTCTTATCTGATGTAATCTTGATCTTAAGTGAAATAGTATTTGAAAGCTTCTTAATGTATAGTGCTATTGTAGGTAGATTCAGTAGTTCGCGATCCACTAGATAAGTCTGCATACATATGAAAATGCGTTTATTTTCCGCACCTATCTTTCTTTTATGCTATATTCTATTCTTATACAATCGAAATTTCAATCATAATTCGTGCTACTGATTTCTGCATATTTCAAATATTTGAAAATTTAAATGAAACTCCTTTTGACGTTATTTTGTAACATCTATGATTAATATTTGAACTATCCGAATTTTTAAATTACGTTTTAAAATCGTAAGTTCTTTTTTACTTTCGATCTCTATTTCGGTAACCGAAAAATATTCGTACATAAACTCGATTCTGGAGCAACATGTAATTATGTGAAAATTATATGAAAACAATTCAACTTACCTCCGCGCCTAGCTCAACAAGAGTTTCAATAAGAACCGCCGTTTGCACAGTCATGTGCAAACAACCCGCGATTCGCGCACCTTTCAAAATTTTCATGGGACCGTACTTTTTCCTAATTGCCATAAGTCCCGGCATTTCGTTCTCCGCTAAAGTGATTTCTTTGCGACCCCAAGACGCCAGAGACATGTCAGCTTTAAAATGAAAAAGATGCAATTCATTATTTACAAACTACAGTAATCATCGGCAGAACTATTTGATTGAAAACGAAGCAATCGGCAAAGAATTACAACATATTCCCAAATGTTTCACTGCTCTATTTTGATTCGCCATTTCCTCGCAACAATCATTTCTACTGTACGGTCAAGTTTGTTATCAGCAGCGTGTATATAAAAACAATAAATCCGAACATTGTGAAAGAGATAAATCAGTTTAATAAACGTGTAGTCATGTAGGTTAATCTCTACTTTAAGCCCACGTTATCTGAATATGCAATAGTTCATAGGATGACCTCATATTGTACTGTACGGCAAAGATTTTTCATCAGCCTCTTTACAATTCTACCTCTACATGTGCATAGATAATATTATGCTTTAAATACTAGGAATGGAGGTTATCGACTCTACTCTAAAATAACGACCACGTGTCTGCTTAAGTTACTTCAAATCTTAATTAACCGTTTACTTACCCACTTTGTACGCAGGTTTGGTGGTCATTTTTGTTCGATGAAAGTTAACCGGCACACGAAAAGTAAGTTATGCTATAATTTTACGAGACGAGTTATCAACCTGCAAGACAAAGGTTAACACACGTTTCCACCGACGAACTGCGGTAAACTAGAGTTAGGAATGCACGACGAGCTTCCTTTAAATCGAGACAAAACGAGGGACCCCGCACGCGTCAGCTTCCCCTCCAAGTGACCATTTCTCCAACCGGGCGAATATGTATAACATAGCAAGTCCTCCGTAGCCGTAGCACTTTCGTGTAAAACGTAGGGCGCGAAATTATGAAAGCAAATGAAAGGTACGCAAGTAATAGAATTTGTTGTCTTCTTAGAATCGTCATTTCAAAATTCAATATTTCGGAACAGTCGTGTCGTCATAGGAGCTAACACAAATACATCCCGCCCTAAAGCCAAATTGGAAACAGCAGTATCTAAAAATAAAAATTTAAAGATTATATTAGTATTAAAGGAAAGAAATCTAGAAATAGGAACCTGTAAAAGGAAAAGGATCAAGAAACAGAAATACGCTTTTACAAGATAGAGCAAAAATTAGCACAGAACTTAAGTTCTCGATATTGCAATGGAAATAAAAAATGACAGACACAAGCTATTAGAAGGTTTAGGCTATCAGAAATAATATGAGCATTTGTATAGGAAAGAAAAAATTGTTTTAATAAAAAATACTATGGTTTGAATAACACGCGGTAAAGTGCCCGTTGGACTTGTACAGATCGCCACGCCACCGTCGTGTTATGAGACACTGTAGGTACTCGCGATATTTGGCAGGATACATGCTGATAAGGAAGAGTACTACTTGCCCAACAGATGTCAATGATGACATATGTTACGTAAAGCATTGCGACAAGCATATATGTTATGTAAATATTTTTATTTGTATGATAAGAGTGTTTTTAATAACGTCATATTGTTATTCTGGTGGACTAATGTCGAAGTCCGTGAATTTCGATCCATTTAGAATCATTTGTCTGCGAAATTCTCGAGCTTCTCCTTTTTCTTCATACAATACTGGATCTTTATCGATTCGTACCAAGTTAGGCAACATAGCCAACACAATTTGCCTATACATATTCTCCTCGTCTTCTTCTCTGAAGTGGATAGCAGGATTTTCAAAAATGATCAGAATTTCTAGCGCAGACAAGCAACTCAATTTTTGAAGTTCTGAAATTTTTGTGATCTCGTTATTTCGAAGGTTCAAATAATTGAGCTTTGTACAACGCGAGTCAAAGCCGTCCAAATTCGACAATTTATTGCTTCTCAGATGTAAAATTTTCAAATTAACTAGAATGTCTAGACCCTCCAGCTTTTCAATTTGATTTTCTGCGAGATATAGACAAATCAATCCAGGGAAAAAGATACCATTCGTTGTAGTTAATATGTTTCCACGCAATTCAAGAGTTTTAAGATTCTTTAGATCGTAAGGATTCAAAGTGACTTCCTCGATATTGTTATGATTTAATTCTAGAATCTCAAGGAGAGTATGGGAGATGCCGGTAGTACTCTTTAACTGATTTTTATTTAACGTCAGTACCTGATATGATAAAAAACTGAAATAGTGGTATATTGAAAATATTTGTCTCTAAATGATCAATATTAACCTGTAGGTAGGGCATTTGTTCCATTTCTGCAGAAGATATTCGATTGTTATCAGCCTGAATCATTAAAAGATAAGTCATTTTCGTGAGAACACACAGGGCTTCGGCGGTTAATCTATTTCCGGAAACGTCCACAAAAAGGACATATCTGAATCTTAATATAACTTGAATGTCTGTGAGGCTCTTATTGGAAACATTTAATCCTAAATAAGCATATCCAAGACCCGAGTCGCATTTTCCTAACGTGTGGAGGCATTCTCCAGCTTCTGCAAATGATAAGATTCGTGAAACCTCTTCGTAAATTTCTGGAGATTCGTATCTCGAATGTTTTTCATATTCTCCTTCTACTTCTTCGTAATCTTCTGCCATTGATTTTCGAAGCAAAATACGACGAATGTATTTATATTAAAAAACAGAGAGATTTGTCAGTTTTTAAACTGTTATGCTTTCTCGCTCGACCGACGTTGTCTCCCCTTGTCACCAACTACAGGGGCAGCACTGTAACAACAGCAAATCGTCAGCCAATCTGAGCAAAGCAATTCTTCGCATACACAGCTCGTTTGATTGGCTGAGCCGAGCAAATTCAAGTTCAAATAAGTGTAGCGGATATTGTTTAACCGCCGTTGGATCGGTGCCGAAAAGTGACATAGAAAACAGTGTTCCTTTATTTTACAACGGTGAATTTCGATTTGGTCGTTCGAGTATTCCCTGTAATAGATACTATGCAACTACGTGTAAAATAAATACTTTATTGTTATGCGATCACTAGGTAATTCCAGCGGTAAACAATTAGTTTCGTAAACTATTGATACGTGTGGCTGCGAGGGATTTGATGTTGTATTATTGTAGGCAAAGAGGTTTGTTTTATAGAATTGTTGTTCGTATACGTTTTCCATTTTCACGAACAACACACTGAAGGATTTTTTAAAATCCGATTATAAATTAATCGGATCTCATTTTTTCATAGCATGAACAACTCAAGAACAGTATATTTGTTTGATGAAAGTTCTTATAAATAATGCATGCGTTTGCTATTTTTTGCCAGTGTATTGAGAACAGTCTATTCTTATTATATTTGCATTAATTTCTTCCATTCTGTTTCATAGATGGAGTCAAGATTACCAAAGCCAAAATCTCAATTAGGAAACTTGATAAGTAGAATACCCAACAGTAGCATAAAAATGAACAACCAAAAAAGTACAAAAGACCCACTTGATGTACCTGGATCAAGTACCAGTACTGTTTCTGATTCTTTGAAAAAATCTAAAAGTGTAATTAATTTAAATTCTAAATGTACAAATGAAAATAAGCCACCGCCAAAACAAATGCTGAATAGATCCAAAACATTGTCTACTATTACGACTAAAGCAGTTAAAAGGCCAGCCACTAGCAATGCAAATCATACAGAGGCTAAAAAACAGTTTACAGCAAGGCCTATAAGACCAGCAACTATGCAAAGAGCTGGTGCTACATTAATAGGCAATACAATCAACAGAACTGTGAAAAATACAATAACCAAAACTATACAGAATGCATCTATAGCTACAACTAAACCTTCCAAATGGGACTTAAAGGGTCGTCTTGCCCATACAAGTAACGAATTGTCTAATATACGACAAATGTTCAAAGAAACTACAACCAAGTTCAGTAATGTTCAAGAGAAGATGACTGCTTTAGAAACAGATGTAAATATGTATAAATCTAAGGCCGAAGAATTTGAGAGTGCAAACAAGCTATTAGATACTGAATTGAAAACGATCAAGGAAGAAAGGGAGGATTTAAGTAAACGTCTAAAAGATACAGAGAAGTCTTATAAAAGTGCTTCAGAGTCATTGAAAGAATTTAAAGAAAAATGTGTTGAACAGGAAGAGTTGATTCTCAAGCATGTATCTGAGATAAAAGACTTACAAACAAATCTCAAGGTCCAGAGACAGCTTAATGAGGAACTCAGCATAAAGAAAGATGAGTTACAGTCTTTAGTTCATACAATGGATAGAGATCGTAGGATACTGCATAATACTATACAAGAGATGAAAGGAAATATTAGAGTATTCTGCAGAGTACGTCCTAGAACTCCATCTGAACTTGGGAAACCGTATGTATTTTTGATGCAATACATGCTATAAATTAATTTTTTTATTGTTTATTGTCTATTGTTTATAGAATGTATGTTATGAACTATGTGGACGAATGCACCATTGAAGTGGGCAAGCCTGATGGTTCAACGAGTTGCAGTGGGAAACTGAGAGGAACGCGACATGAGTTCTCTTTTGATAAAGTTTTTCCATCTTCAGCTAAACAGGAGCATGTCTTTGAAGAATTATCCCTTCTAGTTCAATCTGCCTTGGAAGGATACAATGTCTGCGTATTTGCTTATGGCCAGACAGGTTCTGGAAAAACGTACACTATGGAAGGTTTACCTGGCATTGAAACAGAAGGCATGATACCTAGAACGGTACATCAGCTGGATCATTTGTAACTGCAGATATTCTCTGACGATAGAAAAATAAATACATTTCAATTTTTATACCTAGGTACGGCATATTTTTCAAGAGATGAAACATTTTCAATTGCTCGGTTGGGAATACCGAATAGAAACTAGCTTTCTCGAAATTTATAATGAGCATATCGTTGATTTATTGGACTCTCAACCAAAGACGCACGAAATCCGAATGGCTGATAACAGGGGACATGACTTGTTTGTTACCAACCTCAAGATTGAGGAAGTTCACAGCCCTGAGGAATTACAGGAGTATCTTTTAATAGCTCAACAGAATAGAGCAGTTGCAGCTACTCAATCGAATGAGCGGTAAATCTTTGTTTTCCATTTTAACAACTTAAATTATTAAGAAATCTTGATTGATATGAACAAATTTTTCAAATTGTTATGAATTTTATAGATCGTCAAGATCACATTCAGTGGCAAGAATACGACTCATTGGGAGGCATAATACAAAAGAAGAAATTTCAATTGGAAATTTAAATCTAGTTGACTTGGCAGGTTCTGAACGATTGAAAAACGAGGAGTCTGTTCGAATGACGGAAACAAAAAATATTAACAAATCGTTATCGAATTTAGGTAACGTTATTCTTGCTCTTCTGAGAAAACAAGAACATGTTCCTTATAGAAATTCGAAGCTCACTCATTTATTAATGCCCTCTTTGGGTGGGAATTCAAAAACTTTAATGTTATTAAATATATCACCATTAGACGAAGGTTATAGCGAAACTTTAAACTCGCTAAGATTTGCTAGCCAGGTGAACAGTTGTAAAACCGGTAATGTAAAACGAACACGAACAGTTTTACATACTTCTACATGAAGCCTTATCAAATGAACTTGCATTTGTTATACTTAGCTAGCTTGATCAGACTGCCAGATACATATTAATTAATAGTTTATAGAACAAAGTATTTTTATAGTCTGATAATTCTTTTAAAAAATCGTACAAAACAGATGTAAATAATTGAACACATAATATAATTTCAATACTGTGTGTGAAATTAGATAATATTTCATATCTTTGANTTAGCTAGCTTGATCAGACTGCCAGATACATATTAATTAATAGTTTATAGAACAAAGTATTTTTATAGTCTGATAATTCTTTTAAAAAATCGTACAAAACAGATGTAAATAATTGAACACATAATATAATTTCAATACTGTGTGTGAAATTAGATAATATTTCATATCTTTGA